TTATTCTCTTTCTAACCTCCCCATTTCTAACCTTATCTATCTACGGTATCCTCATCATTTGCCTGTCACATCGTTAAATAATGATAAGATAATAAAATAAATACAATTACAGAACACCTACTGAATCTATAACACGTTTAAAAAACAATAAAGTTGACATTGCCATTATAAATTCAACAATAATATTTCGCTTTGACCATACAAGAAAGCCAACTTTAATATTGCAGTTTCATTTTTATATTGCGCTGTTGCTTTTAATGTTCTAGAATAACATTAATTATTTTGATGAATTTCGGCTCTCTTTTACTATATGTACTATTTTTATAAATATTATTTTTACATGTTTCTGTGTTTGTCGAAGATGGATTTAGAAACTTTTATGTTTTGATTCAAAAATTAAACTGTTCTGATGAGGCTAATAGAAATAGAACATGCGATCACTAAATGTAGCCACAGTCATAGGATAATTTGTAGACTTACGTGTAATTGTTAACAAGAACGGTAGTTATCGGACAGCGCATAGCGACATCTACAATATGAGAAGATAAAGAATAATGGAGTAACATACAAAATAATAAATTTGGTATTGATCGATTCATTTTGGTTTTCTTCAAGTATGTTGCCTTGCGGCTGCGGATGTGTTGATCTAGAGCGGTGGGTACTGGAAGAAATCATGAATAATCTCAAACATCAAGTGTCTGTTGATTAAGTTATTTCGACTTATATATATAATACCAAACTGTGCAATATCAATAAACTTTTATTTTGGACTGTTGGAAACTGCATTTTAGGATCTTTTGCTATTCTGAAATGTAATGCGTGTAATGCTCGCTTAGNCACCAACCAAAAACTACTGCGTAGAATTAATTGGAATTTTTCACACACAAGCCTTGCTATATGAGCTCTCAAAGCATATAAAAATTATACGGCTTAAATGTGAAGTTGGGTGCAAAAGAATACAATTAAATCCTCTGTCGGGAAAAAACGAAATGACTTTCCGAGCAACCATAATAAAAAATTTCCATCTCCGAGATGGGGTGGCAACAACCCTTAGAGTGAAAGCGACCTTTGGCATAATCTAGATTTTGATCCTTAGTCTATTTCCTACCTGCTGTCAAAATCGATTCATTTTTATTATGCTAGATTGCGTTAGACTACAAAGATAAAAAGCTTTTGCGTCTCTAGTTGTCCGCTTCCAACCAATTTGAATATGATTTCCTTAAAATAATTTTTAAATATTTATATTTTGACCCTTTAACCATTAAAAAAGGGGTCGGAGGTGTGTTCCATATATATAAGTACTAAATAGCAGCCCATTTTTGAATTCATGCCTCTGTGAATAGGGACCTACCGATATATTTGCCACTGCGTACGGTGGTCATTGAAACAGTTTCAGATTCCCAATTTAAGTAATTCCAAAGTTGAAGTTAAAGCCTATATTTTGAGCGCAGTGTTTACGTAAAATAGCGCCTCTGTTAGACAGATACATCTGTTTGTTTTCTAGTTAACATTTTGTAAAGTGTTTAACTTTTAATGGTGTTAGTTTTTGACTAACGAATAATTTTTTAGAGATGTTGTGATAATCGTGATCAATAAATCAGTTAAGAATCTGCTAGATCGAAAGGGCATTTCTTTTTTGTGTAGCTGATATAGAACTTGCGAAGAGAATATATTTATAAGTATTCATAAAATAATGGTTATCATTTGAATAACATAGGTCAACGAAATTTTTTTTTTTTGAAGTTTTTTTCTTAAATTGTTAATATTTGTCGTAATTGTCTTAAAAGTAATAGAAAACGATATTCATATAGTATATACCACGTCACATTAACCCATAAATGCTCAGAGAACACATTTCCATTTGAACCCTTGCCACGTAATGAGTGCGACGAAAAAATATTCGATAACCAGTGTTTCTATGTTTTTAACGATGCTCTTTTCGATGGTGTTGGTTAAAAATACCTCCGACAATATTAAAG